ACAGTTCAATTTTTATTTACCAAGTTGAAGTATTCGCTGGTTTTAGAGCGAGTTGAAGATATAATTTTCAAACATTACTAGCCTGGCAGCATCATGATTAAAACATTATTGCGATTGGTTTAATCTAAAGTGGGTTAATTTGAACGAAAGATTTTGAATATAAAAGTTATTTTGAAAACATTTTGTCAAAATATTTGGTTAATTTTTTTCAACCGTAATGTATGCTTTCAAAAAAAATATAAAAATTTGTTAACCAGTTTAAGAATGAAAAAGTAAGTTTAATTGAGCAACACACCTACAACAGTTGAGGTACAACAATGAAAACATTGAAATGATTTTCAGCTGTAAGAAATTAAGAAAGTTGTCATGTGTTTTAAGCGGTTATAAACAGTAGGCTACTGTACAAAGGTTTTTTTGTGCCATAGAAATTTGTGCTTGTATAAATAAAATGTATAAAGTAAGAAAGTAGAAACAGTTTATAAAAAATATAATGATGCCATACAGGGAAAAATTCATGATTCAAAAAATAAATATTTTCCTGGAAATTACATTCCTGTATTCTTCTTTTAAATTGTATTTCGCCGATTTATGGTAGTTTTGTTCTTTGACACTTAAAATTATATTGTTATTATTTTACAAACCTTTGAATTACTCTTTTCCTGAAATACATTTTATTTAGTCCATTCGTTCATGTTCACTTTGTTATACATTACGTGTGTATAAGTGTACATAACAGATATACTGTACCGAACTGTTAAATCTGTTAAATGTGTTTACCGTTTAAGTGTATTATATTTTGTTAATTACCTATATTTTTAGTGTGTTTAATATATTACTCTATTTGGAACGAATCCTTTTTCCAAGCAACAGTTCATTTTTTTCATTTTCAAAACATTCTATAAAGATGTGTAACTAAACATTTTTACTAGCGACCCAGCAGATGCACAGGCTGCTCTTGTTTATGTCTGCTGATTATATAAAATACATAAAAATTAAGTTATACAGATTATTTATATTTTTCTATTGTATTTATATTTAATATTAAAATTTTCATTTTAAATTATAATTATATTTGTATACAATATATATATTTTTATATACTTATGCCTATATTCTGTTTAATGGTTTTTTTAAATATTTTTGTAGTTAACAATGTATTCAAAAGTATGTACCTATTTGACTATTCATGCTGTGTATGTGGAATAAAAATTAATTTAGTTTTTGTTGTTTTATTAAACACAACGTCCTTAAACACATAAGACACTGTTATATTAATTAATCACCCGACAAGCATATGTTGATGATAATAAAATAATGATATTCTAAAACAAAAATAATATCTGAGATAGTAAAATGCATATAAATAAAAGTTCCTTGGGGGTCCTCATAGAATTAAACCTGTTTCTATATAGAACAGGATAAGGACATCTACATACAAACTGAGTTTACTTTACATAGTAGCCACACGTAAGGCTGAACTGTTGTAAACAACATTAAATGGTCATTCAGTTGCAAAAGAGTGTAATTCTGGCAGTGAACGCAGGGAGCAAAATCTGCTTTGGGTGCAGCATATTTACATACTGACTCTGACAAAATATCACTTGTTTGTCATTATAAAAAACAGACGTGGGGTTTGATAAGAATTAATCTTACAATTTCAAGAATTAACTGCAAAAAACTCATAAAAAATTGGCCTAGTAACACTTTAAAATTTCGTAAACAACAAGCTGGCCCAAAATCCAAAAAAATATTTAAGTGCATTGACAATTAAATCTGCCACTCGTAACCTATTAAAGGGTAACCTATATTTTTACCAACAAGTGAAGCTACGTTGAAAAATAAGGTTCAGTAACTTATATGTCTTTTCGTACGAACAAGTCAAATATGAGTAGCCTTGTAAATCATAAAGTACGCAAGATACAAAATATTCTTATATAATAAAAAAAAAAATAAAGTAAAAGAGACATGATAATTAAATTTACTTAAATTGAACAAAAAACAAAAAATATAATGCTATATAGAATTAAATAATACATTGGTTAAACATTTTGGACAGGTTTAAAGGGATTCAAACATTACAGTTCAAAATGACTAAACGAAATAGTTTGCAAAATTCATTTTCAGGTGAGTTGCCAACTATTGTTGAAATTCTTGAATAAAATTATGCTCTACACAAATATTTAAATCTAATGTTCTGTAATAATTTTGTTGAAATCATATTTTCTCTACTGGTTTTTAATAGGGAATTTATTTGACACACACAGCATTGAAGCTATTAATTTTTTTTTAAACATATGTACTTAGACAAATCTTAAAATTATTTATTACACATTGCTTAATATGATGTGTTAATTCCAATAAATATGATTCGACTCCAATGAATCGAATCTTGACATTTTTTTACTGCATTTTTTTTATTTTACTACGGCATGTCAAAAATAAATTGTTTTTTTAGAAGTAAGTAGAACCTTGATATAACAAGACCCTCGATAACAGGTCACCCTTGATAACAAGTGTTCATTTTCAAATTCCCTATAATTTTTTCCCCCAAACCTTATAATTAAACCTTATAATAATTAAACCTTATAATTAAAACCTTGATAAGAAGTCAACCTTGATAACAAGTCTTATTTAATAATCCCCATGAGAGTTTTAATCATCATTATGTCAACACAGTTAATTATCTCAAAATTCCTAAAGTTTCGGTGACAGACACTAATGTAGCTTGTAATACATCTCTACAGACACATTAGAAATCATTAAAATAATATGAGGTCTAAACAACCCATGCTGTTGGATGAGATGAAATCCCAATCAAACTCATTAAATTTTCGGAACACATCATAGCTCCAGTTTTAAGCAAAATAGTTAATCAAAGTTTTTTTAATGAAGAATTTCCTGATAAGCTCAAATTTTCGGAAGTGAAACCTATTTTCAAAAAAGGATCAAAAACAAATATACAAAATTATAGACCTATTTCTCTACTTAGTAATCTTTTTAAAATACCGTATTTGAAAATTTGATTCATCATTGCATAACTGATTTTTTTGAAAATAATAATTTACTGTCGCCATCACAATTCTGCTTTAGCAGAAATCATTCAATAACCTTGGATCTCGCTAAATATGTTAACTCAGTTTCGGAGGCTCTGGATGGATCGCAAAGTGTTGCGGTGGTTTTCTGCAATCTGTTCAGGGCTTTTGATTGTGTGAACCATCAACTTTTAATCTACAAACTAAAAAACATTGGTATAAGAGAAAAGGTCTTAGGTCTTCTCTCAAACTACTTACTAAATAGAAAACAGCGCACAGTAGTTTACAAACAGAACAAACGGTGTCCGTATAGATGGGATAGTGTCCATTAAGGTATACCTCAAGGTTCTATTCTGGGACCATTGCTATTTCTGATTTTCATTAATGACCTTGATTCAAATATAACCAGTTTATTTTTGTATGCTGATGATACTAATGTCGTGGTAAAAAAAAGAGAATTATTTTCAGCAATTAGAAAAGTCAATTAAAAACAACTGGATGAACTAAAAAATTGGTTTTACAAAAATGGACTTTTATGAATAATTCTAAAACCCACTTATTGTACTTTAAAATTAGAAATTGTGAGAAAACAAGATGGAGAATTAATCCTGTGGAGAGCTAAAATCAGTCAGACCCACAAGGTTCTAGGAATACACTTTGATTATAAACTAAAATGGGGAAATCATATTCAATATCTGTCAAAGAAGTTAAATATGTTTAGGTTTGCACCAAGTGTAATTAGTAATACAACATCAATGGATGTACATGTAAAACGGTATTCCACGCCTACATGAATCAATAAGGTATGGAATAGTACTTTGGGGATTTCAGCCCCAAACTAAAATTCTTTTTAACGCTCAAAAATCAATAGTGAGGGCTATAATGGCTTTAAAGATATTGGTATCTTTACACTTACAAATCTTTACATAATTGAAATATTTAAACTAATGTTTAAACTAATGATATTAAAATTTTTGATGACTGTAAATTTAACCATACCTATCCAACACGACATCAGAACAAATAGAAATTTCCTCGTCATAGGCTTTCATTCTAAGAAAACTCTCCAAAATACATGGCAGTAAACGTTTATAATAAATTGTACAGCATTTTACTAAACAATAATTCCAAGAACTTAGCCCTTACATATTTACACAAACTTCTCTTACAAAAACCATACTACACTGTAGAAGAGTTTTTAAGGATACTTTGTACAATGATACGCTGAATGATAAGGTCTTTTCTGTATTTATGAGATATTTTATTTCTGTGAACTTTATTAGTTTTAGTTTAGTTTTAGTTTATATTGTGACGACACTCCAATCTTTTGTACCTTGTGCATTATAAGATGTGATGAGTTAATAAAGAATTTGAATTTGAATTTGAGTCTTGTTATTGAGGTTCTACTGTACTATAGTAGAACTACAATTTTTGAAATTTGAAAAAAATACCTAAAAGCAACATAAAAAAAGTAAAGGATGTCCGGCATAAGAAGTTTACTGTCAGACATAAAATAAAAAAGTTAGCTATTGGAATACTTAAGGCTGGACACCCTGTCCTACAATGTGTATACAAACTCTCTTTCTATATTTGTTCCTTAGGATGAAACAGTGAAAAAACAGCATATAAACATGGGTCTAGCATGCCTGGTTTTCTGCCTGTCAGTGACCTTTACCGGTACATAAATATTACTATTTGGTACTGACTGATACGACCAATCTTTGACCTAAGTATCAAACTTCTGGCACAACAATGGGGGAAAATTGTCATAACATTCGTATAGTATGGTATCACATTAATTGTTATATATCTTGGTTGCGGTATTAACCGATCTCTACTGTTGAAGTATCGTTGGATTAGAAAGACGATTTCCTGAAAACACATACTCTTAATAGTTTTTTGTAGAATCACTTGTCTTCAAGATATTTAATTTAGAATACCAAACCAAATAAAACCATCAGAACTTACCTTATCAAATCTCTTTTTTGAAGCAGGAAGATGAGCCTTCTGTAATGCACTTTCAGAAGCCATGCGTTGGAATTTTTGCATGCATTCCTTAACACTAATTTTGTTCTCTGGATCACTTTCCTAAAATAAAACAAACACAAATCAATAAAGTCCAAACTAATATTATCTTTAAATAGAATCTGTGAAGTGATCAAGTTAGTGAATGTGCACGGAGAATATAATCCAGCGAAATAACAGATACTGATCAAATGAGGATTTATAGAAGAAACAAGCTCTTACAAATATATTATCAATAGTGTAATATTGTATAGTGTTACTTATCAAAATTACATTTAAAAAATACATATACACACATTTTGACATCTAATTGTACCACTCACACACATTCATTTCAAGCAACCACAACGACTTACATAAACAAGAACCACACAACTATTTAAACTCTTTATAAACATCACAGACTATTTTAAGATTCCCACTGTTCTCTCAAAGACGATTCAAACACAAAGGAAATATCAAATTTCATATAGATGGTGAGGGTTCATCATGGCTTGGGAGGGAGGATGATTGATGAAGACTACGATGACAGGAGTTTGGTAACAAGAAACAATGCAGAGGTTCAACAGACTAAGAACAATCATAAAGACCATTGTCAATGCCGTGGCTACAGCTGTCACCATCAAGACACTAACTCAAACACTACCAGTTCATTGGTTGGGGACTGAGAAACTTCATATGTTAAGAGTTTACATGATGAATGTAAAGTCAGAAAATCTATTTGGGAAAGCCTATTTGTGGAGAAATAAAAAAAGTACAAAAAATATGTCAAATAACACTTGTAATAATATACAGTCGAACCTCTATAAGACGAACGTCAAGGGGTAGGCGAAAAATTCTTATTATCGAGGTATTCTTAATATATATATGTGTAAATGTTCAATTTTTATTTCTAAATAAGGTTAGTTTTATCGGGGTTTTAATACTGCTGTTATTCGTCTAATAGAGGTTTCTCCTCGCTCTGAGACAATGACTGAGGAAGGACGAAGGATGAGTGGGTGTTTCATGTTGAGACAAGCTTCGTTTTGTTTTGAAAACTACGTACTATGAATGTTAAGATCATGAGAAATTTGTGTTATAAAGTTTGCTTTTGTCTTGTATAACCTATACAAGACAAAAGCAAACTTTATAACACAAATTTCTAAGAATTTAATCAAATTCAAATTTATGCTAAGAATATTAGTTGTATAGAGGTTAAGCAGTTCTAGCCCATGTTACAAACAAATTCGTCTTATGGAGGGTTTTAACCTAATAACTACGTTGTGTAGAGTTATTTTTTGCATTAACCTTTAGGAAAGTTTCAAGGGGATTTTTAAAAAAATTGTTTTATCAAGGAATTTGTTTTACCGAGGTTCGTACTAAAGATGTTCAACCGTTTTTACACTTATACTGTTTACTTACAAGACGTTAAATACATATGGGAGATGGTAAGTGGTGATTGGACACTCCAATTGAAATCAATCACCACTTACCATCTTTCATATGTATTTACCCTCTTGTGAGTAAACAGTGTATGTGTAAATATGTTATAAGAAGAGTTATTTGATGTATTTTTGTACTTTCAGGTATTTTAATAGCACATACGATGCTGATCAAGAAGTTATTTAGAAATAAAAATTGAACATTAGCAGATAGATATGTTATACAATTTTGATAAAAGCATTTACATTCTACAACGGATACTAAGAACAATCATTCAGAACAATGCCACAATCATAGCTATAGTCCCTAATTGTTAGATTGTCAATACACTATTCATTATTGGCTGTAGAAATGACACACTATCTGAGAGTCTTCAATATAAAGTAAAATCAGTTCAATCATTTATTTTGCAAAACAAGTAGGAAGTAAAAGGTTATTTCAAAATTGTTAATAAAATGGAAAAAATGAATTGAATTTTCCATGCTAAAGCAATAAATAAAAGGTAGGCCATGCTTTTATAGTAGAAACAAACTACTTAATGATGGATTAAGGTCATAAAATATCAAATATAAGTTTTTCATTAAAAAAACAGTTATGCTCACATTGTTAATAAAAATAAAATGATCCAAGATTCCAAAGTGTGAAAAAGCAATTAAGGTTTTTTAGGTTGCATAAATTATGGATCGGATTCGAAAGATGAAGGTGACATGTTTCCTACCTTGGTGTAAGTGACCAGTGCAACTTTTTCTAATCAGTGCCACTTGTAAGCATTGAAAAACACAAAAATAAGAGTATTTTGATTTATAATGCATTTCTATGTGATTGTTAAGCAAAAGATCAAATTTATGGCAGAAAACATAGCTTGAAACCGTTTTATGCTTCTCAATTAATTTATTAAATCACACGACAATAAAAAAATTATTTGTTAGATTCCATTTTTATATTCACAGTTATAAATAAGAAATAGATTTTAAAAATTATTTCACAATGTGCATAATAATAGCAGAAATTTTTGCTTTAAGCAATGTGTTATGTTTTTAACGATAGAAAAATTCAAACACAGAACATTAGAGCAATAATCTACGATCCTATTATAGTTTTTAAGTTTCAGTAGTGATTTAAGTAAGAAAAAAATATTTTTTAGATTACTTTTTTTGGACAGGATAAACTTTTTTGCTTTTATAACAATAGTTAATTGAAACACATAAAATTAGAACATTTGTATGAACCCATTTCAATTTAAAAGTCTCACAATTTAATTGAGTTTTAAATTAATTGAATTAAAGTGATAGTAAAATTACACATAATTAATTTATTAGCAGGTTGATAAACCACACATAACGCTTACCACAAAGGTTAAATCAAACAAAAACACAACCCCCGAACACGTACACTGTGTATATTCTATCGAAAACACACATCACATATGGCGACTCAGTTTAGGCTCACAGCTGCAAGATGTTAAATTTGTGTACACAATTAGGTCACAAACTGATGAGCATTAATAACCATCCACTAGAATCTATACTCTTTACTGAGCAAGCCTTGTGTTTGGAATATACTCCTAGGGGCTTGCGAAAGTAAACAATTCTATCGTAATTTATCTGACTTATAGTTTAATAGAATATTTATTTATACAGCCTACCTATTTATCAGACTAGAAAGAGTTTAGCAACAAATAAGCCAGTGGATGGACGCTGTTTTTTCAATTACAAACTGAATAAATAGAAAGAAATATGATACCAATGCATTAAAGAATCAATTTTACTTATGGGTAGATTGTAAAAAAACTGTTTTTTTGTAGGTTAACTTGACTACTTCACTTGACTACACTTGAATAAGTCTACTTATACTTTCTCTATTTACATACTCAATAGTTATACTTTCTAAATATAATTTACTACAACCCGAAGTTAAATTGTGAAAAAATATATTTAAAAATACCCTTAACACAAAACATATACAAAATATAAATATAAAGTAGAATCTCGACAGGAAGTCGCTCACGGAGATTATCAAATAATACTTTATCAAAGATTATAATTTATTAGACTATTTGCAATAGCATGTTATTGATTAGTTGGATTTATCATCTATTTTATGCAGAAAAACTATTTGTAAGTTTTACAGGTAGTAATTTTATTTTTTTTATTTTTTTTTTACTTTATTTTAAAATAATGCCATAAATAGTAGGTATATTTATGGTAATTTTACTAGATTGTAAAATGACTCTTTTCAACCCAGCTAAAGTACAACCCAAAATGTGCGAGGGTTGAAAAGACACTATTTTGCCCATGTGATAAACTATTATTTTCGCCTAATTGCAACATTATTTAAAAAAATTACTTTTCATAGAAACAAAATATTGAAGGTTTTTTATCTTTAATTTTATTGTGCTTTGAAGAAATTGAATAGGTTTATCTTACAAATAAATAATTTGTAGTTGACTTAGTAAAAAAAGCTTTAGTTATATGAAGAGTTTGAAGAGACCCAAACATGCAATTAAACACACAAATAAGCAACTCACATCAACTTCCGCCTCGGCTCCAATGGTGGTGGGTCGCCCCTGGACCTCTGGTGAATTCTCCTTGTTACTACCAGTGCTCTTCTTGCGCGGAGGTACAGGCGGGGCATCACTGACGGGTGTAGGTGGAGGCGGAGGACGGTACGGGGGAGGCTGCCGAGTAGGGGAGGTTGCTGACGTAGCACTGTCCAAGGAGTCCTGAGACACGGAGTGAGCCATGGACCGCTTATCTCCCAAGGAGTACAGGGAGGACATGGAAGACGATGGGTTCAAGTCAGGAGTGGGAACAGGACTGAACTGGTCGTGGCTCTGGATACTCGGGGTGCGATACTTCTTCTTCAACACCAGGTATTTTTCACCCTGGAAAAGAAAAAACTTTTGAAATGCTTTATCACTTGTTTAATGACTTGATTATTCTACTGTTCATTATTATACGTGTTTAACCCTATGCTACACATGTCTCTTCCAATTGAAGAGAACAAGACCAGTACAAGGAGCGTTAAAAGTCTCAACATTCTTCAATATAGATAGTCAAAGTACCTAAAGACCTGGTGGCAGCAATACAAATCTTTTACAGCCTACTTGAGGACATATGAAAGTATCACATTTAAAACCTCTATGGAAGGCAAAACCTATAGGCCTATATATGCACCAAAAGACTTTAATGTAGTAGACTACCACTTGTCCAACTCGCTGGTCATTCCATTACTATATGCTTTAGCCAGGTTTAGAATAAAAATGATTGTAGATTGAATTGTGCTACCGACAGTTCAACACATTACATCATGCATTGCATCATTGTGCTGATGTAGATTACTTAGTGTTTGACCAAGCAAACTAAATAGTTATTTGTGTAACTAGTGAGCAAAGTGGCACTTTGCTGCACACGAGAGCAATGTTTACGAGAGGTATGATCTTGAGTGCAGCAAAGGCCTTTTGCACTCGTGTTACACATCATATTTTTCCTAGAGTCACTATAAAGCATATAAATAATTAGTCTTTCAAACACTATACAACACGTTTTTAGGTTCAGCTGGCAACACAAATAGGTGCCCTAGAGAAAGTAGTACCCGGTCCGTATCACTCCGCTATTTTTCCACGGCAAGAAATGTGCTCCGCGTTTTGAGAATATAGTTCCGTATGTTTTTGTAATTTGAAGTGGTTTCCGCGCCTAAAAAAATGCTTTAAAGGTATTTTCTTGTTTATTAAGATCGTAGGAATGTTTTAAAAACGTTTAAAAGAAAAGTCCAGAAAGTTCAGAAATACCGAAAAGAGAACATAAACTATAAACACAAAATGACAGGTTAAATCGAAGTTATAAAAGTCAATCAGCTGCTCACTTTGTCGGGTGACTGTAGGAAAAAGACTATTGTACGCTATATATGGATGAGTTGAATCAACTAGCAGGAAGAAAACAAATGGAGAATAGTTATTTGTGTGTAACTAATGGGCGAAATGTAGTGGTGGAAATCACTGAATGAAAATAACCGAATCATTCGGATATTGAGAGTCAACAGACTAGTTCGGTTATTTTATCCTGATTCGGTTAAATTAGTCTAACCGAGCACTTTGGTGATTTTAACAAAAAGTTTTTCAGTTAAATTTATTTTACGATTATTTTATTTTTTACCTTTTTAATGTAATACCTATAAATTATTACCATCAGGTAAAACTAGTTGTTGCTTGGAATAAATGTTTGAACTAAAATTGATTCTGCGATTCGTTAGACTACAAATCACCGATTGACGCCAAACGACTAAATCCTATTCAGTTTCTCACAAGATAAAAATTAGTTGTGGTTTGGAAAGGTGACTAATGACTAAAATTAATTCGGTGATTCATTCAACTATAAATAACCGATTTACACTAAAAATTACTGATTTATTATTCGGTCATGGAAACCAATCGGTTATCCCATCACTAGCGAAGTGGCACTTTGCTGCACACATGAGAAATGCTTATGCACAAGCCATAGGCGAGTGTGGAAAGTTTCTCTAGTGCAGCAAAAGCAGTTTGCACTCGCATTACACATTATATTTTTCCTATAGTTACTATAAAGCATATAAATAATTAGTCTTTCAAACACTGTACAACACTTTTAGTTAGGTTAAATCCAAACATTGAACGAAATGAGAAACGCTGCACCTGCTGATCGTAGTCGTAATATCTTTAAGTGTTGCTAACCTATTTCCAAGCGTACACGGATTACGTGCATAATCAAAGTACCCTGTTTTGTGTAGTTTGGTTGGAATACTGGTGTGCGATAAAGTAAAAACTGTGTTATTTTGGTTGATTCAAGACAAGTTAATTCAAAGATAATAAATTTATAAAAACTAGTTGTTCTCCCCGTGCCTCGCCACAGGGAGAGAGCGCAGAGAAGATTTAGTGATTCTTCCCTGCCTTTTTTTGGAGAAGTTTCACAGCAAGACCATTCATTCAAGTATGCAACTGATTGGTGTTAAAGGTTCAAATTCATCCTAGCTTTATATATAGATACTAGTGCACCTGTTGCTTGAATTCGAGCAATTGCAAAGTGTTACAGGCGTTATTTCAAAACCAATAACAGTAATAATTTTAACTCAAAGTCAATCACTCCACTCCAGTTGTTAAAACTGAAAACGAAGGCTCTTGTGTGTATCATGTGTTTACTATCAACAGCTGTTTTAGAATGCAATTAATACAAATGATTTGTCTGTTTAAGTAAACAAAATCTTTTCTTTATAAGAAACTAGCTGTAAGCCCCGTTTAACTTCTTAATTTTCAAGATTATCTCGTTCGCATGGCTCAATCACGTCCTGGTTGAAGTTTGTTCGCTACGCTCACTCACCTTTAGGTTGGAGCTCGTTCGCTACGCTCACTCACCTTTAGGTTGGAGCTCGTTCGCTGCGCTCACTTGCCTTCAGGTTAGCTCGTTCGCTACGCTAACTCGCCTCCAGGTTGAAGTTCGTTCGCTACGCTCACTCACCTTTTGGTTGCAAATTAGCTGTTGTCATAAATGTAAAAGAAATAATAGTGCTGCACCCTGTTGGTAATCCTTGTAACTTTAATGCTATTGAACATCATAGAACAGAACCAACTTGTTTAATTGAAACAGCTGTTAAGATTCAATAATTCCATTTCTCATAAGGTTAACATGGGAAACTCCAGAGCCACTGGGGTGGAGCCCGAAAGGATTTTTGAAATAAGAATATGCCTATATGTTAATCGGGAATGTGAGCTATCATCATGCCAAATTTCAGCCCAATCCGACCAGTATTTTTCGAGTTTACTTTTCCCATACACACATACAGCAACCACCTCTTTTTTATAATAGCTAGTATAGATACATTGGGATTTTGATGGCCTGTGTGGCAAGGCCTGAGATGATGTAAAATGTAATCTGTCACTTTTATTATATTCTTAAAGGTTACAAGGGAGTATAGTATAGAGTGAACACACATGTACTACTAATTTACCATGTTATAAGCATCATTAATTAAAAGCCTAGAGACAAATAGTACCTAGGTCCAGTACTAAACATGAAAAGACAATTAGACCGCTCTTTGCAGAACAACCTGAGGTTACAACTCAGTATAATGACTGATGTTAGTGGGAATTAATAGTTGGTCAAAATTTAAAAAATAGTAGTTTACACAACGATTGCGTAAAGATACATTAAAGACACAAGTAGAAATTTAAGGTACGAGAATTGGCGAGTGCCTTAAAACATTAAAGCACAAAAAATATGTCAAATAACAATTATAATAATATATTTACACTTATACTGTTTACTCACAAGACTGTAAATACATGTATATGATGGTAAGTGGTGATCAATTTTGATTGGACACTCCAATCATCATCAGACCCAATTGATGTATGTTATTAAAAACCTCTATGAGTGTCGTTAAGACTATTTACGCGAGTTGCATACACTACTTAACCTACGACAGTCTTTTTAATCACTAACAATTACTACTCATAACTTCTAAAAAAGAGAGGTTATGGTCTTCGTTTATAACCAATCATTGCAATGGACAGTGATGCAATAAAAAATTGAACCAAACACTAACTGTACCACTCATTAACAATTAAATTGGCCAAACAGCTGATTAGTTGACGTTTGAAGCATTACAATTTTACTTCTTCTCTCTCAATCCTTGAACCCCATTGGTCCGTTATTTGTGTTGTTAAGTAAAACAACAATGCTGTTAAGTGAATCTCTTCAATTCTAAGAACTGAACTGAAACGGCTACTTTAAATAACGGTCGTAGGTAAAAACATAAAATTTTTTAAAGTAATCCATATTTTGACCAGAGAGAATTATTAGGTGAAATCTCAATGATTGTGAAAACAACATAAATTTACTTTGTTTCCCTATAATAGAGACCTAGCCCCCATAGGTAGACTCGTAGGCAGTACGTATAACAAATGGACACCACTAACAATTTGTATTGTATGAATGGACTCGGTATGAATGGATTCGACTATCTTGTATCTATAGATATCATCAGGTGACATATATCAATCCAGAGCCTCACTGCCACTGCCTACACCACTTCAGACCACACACCATTGTTCAACTAGGATTTGCTACCGGCCACTACACACTACATGGTGATCAATTCCTGGGATGGTGTGGTCGTACTAGGAGTAGGAGAGACGTGTTACTAATGTTGCCTACACAAAAGAATGAGTTTAAAGATAATAATTATTTTAAAATAAAGACTGGTATTCTTGAGAACTTGATTCATTTAAATGGGAATTGATAGGGTATAAGCTTGTGGTTGGTTTTATGGTAAGATGTGGATCAAGACTGATTTTTGACAAAAACACTTCAACCTCATTTTAAAATGTTTCTATTGTCGTAATCACAATAATTCCAAGAAACATCTTTCGATTTTGATGAGATTTGGTACAAAAGTGTAAAACTACGTTTATTCAAACAAGTTTGCTAACCAGCGTGATTGAACAAAGGGAACAGCGTTCTACGGGATGAAATATTTTCTTTCCGTATTTGATACTCAATACATAATATTTCTTTTCAAAATCATTTTTTTAGAGCTTTTAAAACAACAAACGATTTGATATATTAGAGCAATGTTGTAGGTAACCAAAAATGGTTACAAAATAAATTCCAAGAAACTGTTCATTTTAAATTCTTATGTTTTTCTCATGTAGAATTTAGTAAACAATTTGGGTTTGCTTGTTTATGGATGTACAGTATTGTGTTCAAACAGGGCAATTATATTTCAAATATAATATTACATTACTAGTCCGTAAAATAAGTGTTTACCCTACAAATATAGTTGTTCCCGTGCGAGACAAAGTCAAGTGCGGGATTAAGATACGGGTAGAGAAAACATTGCATTGTCGATAAC